ATATGAGATATATAATAAAAAATAATGTAAGTATTCTTGGAAACGTACTTGACATTTTACTTTGTATTTCTTCAACATTGAAATTTTCTTGACCTCGTGATTCGTTGTAGAAGGCTTTAATTTTGTCAGACATTGGACGGAAGAAATATTCTTCCCAAACTGTTTCATTATTACCCTTGTCTTGTTCATTAATACATGCTGGAGAAGATGAATCTTTGCTAGACAAGTACTTTTTCTGTTTTGTACTAACAGAATCTTCATCATCATTTATTCTTTGCCTTTTTCTACTTGAACTTGGCTGATTAGGAATTTCAAAATTTGTTACATCTTCCATCGAAGTAACTGATTGGTTCTTATCTCTTTCAAACACAACACTTCTATTACTAGTAGCTTCCAATGATACATCACATTCGGGTATATTATCTTTTTCGCTACTAGACAATGATTTTCTAGCATCGTCAAGATTTCTGCTACATATTGTACTTATTGAAATAGATTTATCTTTTCCAGAATCATCTTTGTTTTTACTACGACACTCTTTTGATTTGTTTTGAACGTTCTTACTCATTTCCCTTATTTCCTTTATACTAGATGCACCCTTTCGAACTTCTGAGCAATTTAAAATTATATCTTCTGTTATGTCGTTTCTTAATCTATCATTTGAAGAATTTTTCTTTTTTAATCTAGTATGTGATACTTTTTTATTATTTTCAATCAATGAGCATTCGTCTGTATCATTGTTATTACTAAATGTCTCTGAATCATCAGAATCTTGTAAATTTATAACAGGTGGTTTAGGTTTTGGTGGAATAGGTACTTCTAGAATAGATCCTTCAGAATCAGTTTCTGTATCTGATGTTAATAAAATTACCTGCTCTTCGGAATAGTCATTTACTTTTCGTCGTTTCTTACTTCTTGTACATACATTATATTTAGAATTTGATTCTTCATCACTTATTGGATTTGTGCATGTGTACAACTGTTGATTCTCCCCAAGTTTTATCTTACCCTCCTCTTCTTGTTGTTTTAAATTCATTTCATTTTCTTTGTCCAATTTTTGTAATTGTTTTTGTAAATTGACATATTTTTCTTGGTATAATTTATTAATAAACAATTTGGAAAATTCATACCTTTTAAGAATGTTACCATGATCGTCCTTTAATTTTACCGTGTTCACTTCTTGGATTTCTTCAATTCCACTGTCAACATTACTGTTTATAGATTTTGAATGAGATTGGGATTTAGATTCATTTATTTCAAAATTCGAATTTGTAGATTTTAATTCTATTTCACTTTCTTCTTCTGCTTTAGGTTTGATGCCAACATCTCTACTTATATTAGAAGAATTCAAATTATTAGTAATTTCTGTATTTTGACTTGTTGATCCTTCATCTTGTGAAGTAGCAACATTTTCTTGAGAATGTTGCAAAGCACAAGATACGTTTAAATAATTTTGACTTCTTTCAACCGATGTTCCAATTTGGTTCTCAAGGCATATAGACTTAATATTAGATTTAGTATCTTCATCAAATAATGCAGAGCCACTTGTTACATAATTATCTGTATCATTGTTTTTGACCTCTTCTTTTTGAGGATTGACACTACTAATATTCACTCTGTTAAGAAGTTCTTTATTGTCAGAACTAAGAGGTTTAAATTCAATGTCTGGCTTTTCATCCACAATATCTATGTCATTTGATACATAATAAATTTTAGAATATAAATGAGATTGTAAATCATGATTAGCTTCTTCATCGTCGGTATTTTCAGCTTTATAGTAATCTGTAACAATAAAATTAATTCATTAGGATTACCATTATATAAAACCTAAAAAGATTATATGTAGTGTTCTCACCCCGAAATGTTTCATCTTCCATATCTATTAGATTATTTAATGCCTTATATTATTTTATATTGTAAAAACAATGCATAAGAAATGAACAATATCTTTATTATGGTCTTTAGAACGGGATCATATATTCTTAAAGGCCACATGCAGCCACATGTGCTTGCATGGTATCTGTAAAGTTTATATGCAAGTGTAGACCTACACGTTCTTTATTCCACAATTATACTAGTATCATTAAGATAGCACAGCGTATTCTCAGATGTATTAGCAACCTATAGGTTTTGAAAAGATCAGAAGATTTCAGTCATGACTCAGTCAGTGTAAGATGTAACGATGTAAGGAAAACATTACATATGTATGTACATATGTACACTACATACTCAAAAACACATCAAAATAAAATACATATATATGTACATAGATGCTTTTTGTTACAATCTAATTTTTTGGTCGCTGTAAAAATATGTACAATACACTAGCTCCAACTCCAACCAATTCCTATACTATGTACATTGTACATTTTTCTTTCTCCCCAAACAAATGCATCCATCCCTTTCATCTTATTGTGCATCCAATCCGCAGTGAATCCTGTCTCAGCATTTAATTGTCAACCAATCGGAATAAAGCAATTTCTGTCCCCATCTTCGACTACTTAGCAAGCCGCGGCCAGAGTGGTACAGCAGGAGTTGGTTGAAGCAGTATAGTACATACATATGTTATTTGAAAGATTTTCGAAGGATACATTTTTCGGAAAATTGCTGTAGGTATAACAAAATGTTAATATTTACATATTATGATACATTGTACAATTTATATGTACAGTATATAATATGTATCTAATATGCAGGGTATCCCACAAATGTCTCGCAATCCGGAAATGGGGAATTCCTTAGCGAAAATGCAATCCGCAGCTTTATTTACGAGTTATTAACGGAAAACAGTGACAAATGAGAGGCCGAGCCAATGAGCGGAACTGGACTTTGTACACTCATTGGTTGGGACGCTTCGTGCCAGCCGAGTTCGCATCTTATTAGTCAGTGTTTTTTGGGACACCCTGTATACTGTACATGGATTGGACATTGGGTTCAAAATAATATGCTACTTTCATCTCTATGTAATTCTACATAGTTTTGTTTACGCTGGGCGCTGGGCACCATCTTAAATTATTTGATTTCAAACTATTTCCGTTGAGCGGTGTTGTAGTTTGGTATTTGATCTGATGGTATGAAATGTTTTTTAGAAATAAAAAATACAAAAGCAGGCGATTTGGTTTTGTAAACGTGAAACTGTCTCGATCTATTCGCGCTGCTAAATATGAAAGTCGGCGTAAAACTGGAAAAACCAAAACTTACAATGAAAACAGAAATATATCAAACTGTTAAATTAATGCAACACTGGAAGGTTTGCGAAATATTTGGTAACTTTTAATATATTCTGATTTATGTCATTGTTGTTTATTAAAATTTTAATTTTAGAAACAACACCTCCAGCAATTGAAAATCGTTTGCAAGACTAACAAAATGGAAAGTAGAACGTGATAGAAAGAAAAAATTGGAAAATGTTAAAAAGAAATGTCCTTTCGTAGTTAGGATGGTATTTCATAAAATATATTCTTCAATTACAACGGATGAACGTCTTGTTTCAACCACTATCAGCAAAAAAGTATGTAAATCAAATATACCAATGATACCTTTGGTTCAAAAGAAGAAAATTACAAGAGCCACAGAAAAGAGATTAATGTATAAAGCACAGTCAAACAAAATGATCAAAGATTCAATAAAAATTGATCAGTCTATGAAAAATAAGCATCCTAAGATTCCAAAGGAACAGGGAGCAATTCTTTGCTTCTGTAAATTATAAATATAAGCCACCAGAAGGGCCATGTAAAATGTCTTTGTTTGGTTGGGTTACAAATAGTACAAATGGCGTATTGAATGAATCTTTATTGTTCTTTTCAAAAGAGATTCTAAGACCAGTAAAAAAAATGGCAATACAAACTTTTCTGTAGAACCAATAAGTATCACAACATTAAATATATCTTATATTATTGAGGAAAAGCAAGAAGATACCATAGATGAAGTTTCTAGTGAATCATTTATATTAAAATTATCTTCTGATAATGACGAAGTGTTTAATTTAGTTAATAGACACAATACTAGAAGTAAAAAGAATAGTGATAATAGCAACAATGTTACCAAGAAAGTTAAAGAAACTAATAAAAAATTGATTGATTTTAAGAAAAATTGGAACAACTGAACATTTTGATAATATAAGAGTGTTAAGAAATAGAAGTATTATTTCAGAAAATACATCAACACAGAAAAAAAGGTACTCTAGAAAACTATCTGTAAATATGCACGAATCAGAAAACAAAGAAAATAAAACTTCTAAGTAGTGGAGATAATACGCTTATTAATTCAGAAATAGATTTATATGATGCTATTCGTGGTATGAGCTTAGATGAAAAAAGTGGAAGATGAAAATCTAACTGAAGAAGCATTAAATTAAAACAACACGCTTTTGGTAAGTTCGAATTATTTAAACAAGTGGATTTTATTACAGTAAAAGACTACTCTGGTTGTGTAGAGAGACCAACACTTCCTATGTCCCTTCATGTGAGATGGAGTAGAATGCGATCTACTGGGAAGAAGAAAAAAGGTATGGTAACTCAAGAACCATTTGAGTCAATGGGAAAACGTAACAATGTATTAACAATAACTCACTTATTGCAGTTCCTGAACAGATACATCGATTAAAGAGCAAAAAAGCATAATTACTGATCAAACTGTGAGTTCTAATCTCCTTATATCATAGAAGCAATGTTATGCACAGATATTGAAAGTTGTAATGAGCGATATGTATTAAGAGTATGAAAAGATGAGAATAAAGTATAGAACAGTATGATAAATAAAGGAGAAATACAGAAAAATATGTATCATTTCTTTTGTTGTAGATATTCTTCTTAAATAACAGTGACATAAATCAGAATACATTAAATATTATCAAATATGTCACAAACCTTCTTCCAGCGTTACATTAGTACTGTTTGTTATATTTCTGTTTTCTTTATAAGTTTTAATTCTCTTCTTTGCTCTTTATCAGAGCGAATAGATTCATTTTACAGACTGCTCATTTTTTATTGAACCTTTGATTATTTTGTTTAACAGTGCCTCATATTACTTTAATCTCTTTTCAGTGGCTTTTGTAATTTTCTTCTGTTGAACCAAAGGCATCGTTGGAATATTTTATTTACATACCTACTTACTGACAGTGGTTGAAGCAAGATGTTTATGTTTTATAACAGGAGCTGCAAAAATGTTTGCTTTTGTAGTCGAAAATTCGACATTTTTTTTGATTAAATAATATTTTCAAAGTGAATGAAAAAATGTTTAATTTTATCAAGTACAATTTCTAAATATGTATATATGTACTACTCTAGGGCTCGGGATTAACTGTACATCACAGAGACAGAGCATTTTCGGAGATTGCTTTGAAATGTGCTACAGAATGGCATCATTCAATTCCATTTGTGAGATCTCTCCTGCAGCATATTTCAGAGCAGTCTCCGAAAATGCTATGTCTCTATCATGAGCAGTTAATTTCGAGCCCTGTACTACACCATAGTATGTATAGAACTGCAGTAAGTACACAAGTACTTACATACTGTATTACAGTCAGATAAAGAGGAATCGTCAGCACCGACAAAAGAACAATGTAAATCAACATAGAGGGTATACAGTTAATAAACTATACTAAGTATGGTACCATACTAAGCTACCATACTAAACTGTACTAAGCATATGTACCACATTCCGCGTAATTAAATTTTTATCGATTATATTGCTTTTGTCATCATGATAAGTATTGAATTATGTATTTTATTTATAGATTTTAGTATTATCATCTATATAGATTAAGGAGATTCTTGAAGAACATTTTTTTTGAAAATTTTGTTGTGGTCTCTTTAAAATAGTTGAAGCTAATACTTTTAATTTTTTTCAAAAGTCATTTGATTCAATAAGTAATACAACGTAAAAGACGCGGTCTGTCTAAATGTACAAATTTTGTCTGACATCCTGTTTTGTATAATCAATAATTTAAAAGATATGTGAAAAAAATCAATTTTATGAACATATAATTCAATAATACTAAGATTAGTCTTACTATCCTGGGAAGTGCTGTGAATACAATTCAGGAATCGAAATATAAAGTACATGTTTCGCGGTCTCATCTAAATGGGACTAACGGGAGGTCCGTCACGTGACATGACCAGATGAGCCGCTATTGTTGTGTTTTGCTCTAATCTTGAACAGAACAAACAATTTTATAGAGGGTAAAACTTGATTGTTAAATAATGGTACGTACATAATTTCTCTGTATGTATTGTGGACTCGCCAAATATCGTCTCGTGTGTCCTCTCCATGAAGTTTCCCCATTCTTTGCCTATATAATATGAGCTATTATATTTATCTGTGACAGAAATTTGATAGCAAATGGATATATAAATATAACAAGACCAATAAGAATAATACACAAAGATTTCATTTTGTTCAAATTTATATCTACGTAATAATAGTGTAATTATAATAAATTTTCTGGATTTTAATCTCCAGATCTCCCTAGTTCAGAGTCAACTGATTTGGGAAAATTCGGGCGGTAGTGTGACCGATCACGATTTTCTATAGTTCGTGATCAGTGCAGTTGATAAATGAAGGATTTGTGTTTGTCAAGGTAGTTTTGTTTACGCGTAAATTTTCATTCGGTATCAACTTCGCGCGCGTTTTGTGTGTGCTAAGAGGTAGATGAAGGTGCGTAACAGTTTCCCTCAGGTTTCGTATTAAATTCGAAAGGTATGGAAATTCTCGACTTGGAGAAATGTATTGTAATGCGAACGCTTGTCGTACGGAACATACGAACTATGTAGGGAAGAACGATCGTTAAAAAATGGAAAATTATACAAACTACTACTTAAAATTTACATTAACAACTTTGTAATCATTCTTCATGGATTCTGTCGAAATAAAAAGTGAGGTTATCTTGGGTACATTGAACAGTCCTGTAATCTACATTTTTACTTCATAGGTTATGAAATCAGTTATAGTTACTCACAAAATTTAGAATACATTAATAAAAAGAAATAATT